CTTATGCTAAGGCATAAAAACAGTGGTTCTCAAAGTGCGATGCAAGCGTCCGTCCTAATCACCTAATCACCTATATTGTTTCTAATATACATCTTTAAGTATCAACTCAAACCCACTAAATCAAACCTGGGGCAATAGGAGCTGCAATGTCCCTGGCTCCTCAGATGGTTCTCAGACACAAAATTTGAACAATTGGGTGATATAACATACTTTGGAAACTGAACATAATTTAGTGTAACTGAATTGTAGGTTACAGGTGACAGTGAAATGAGACAGATCAATCCAGAGAGGAATGCCATGATCTATTTGTAATAAGTCTTAAATGACACACCAGGGGCTTAGACAGGAACATGAAGATGCAATAGGAAACCACTGAAGTGTTTTAAGCAGAGGAATAACCAGATAAGATGTGTGTCTTTTTTTTTTTTTTCCAGATAAATTACCCTGACATCAATGTGTATGGTTGGGTATACTAGTAGAGCAAACATAGGCAGGAAGGAAACTTGGGAGAATAATCTTCCTAAAATAAGATTAAAATAGCCTTGAATTGATACACTTGGTGGCTAATTGAACTGGTGAATGAAGGGAGAAGTAATTTTGGATGAATATCATTCCCACATTTGCTTGCCTCCAATGCTAAGTTTATAACAGAATGTGTAGACAAATAATTTTTTAAAGCTATAATATTTTTATAATATTTTAATCAGGCTGTCATATGTAACCACAGTAGTGACTTGTCTCCAAGCTGATGATGGCAAAAAGAAATGTCCCTTTGATAGCAGAACATCCTACAACAGCTTTACGAAATAATCTTCATTAAAGTAAAATGGCAGAGGTTTGGGGTATTAGAGCAGTTGTATCAAAAGCATCTCCTTCCTACCCATGCTGAACTGAGAGCTGTACCAGAGGGCTTTGACTACAGGGAGATTATAGGCAGCAGGTATCAAGCTTTTCTGTATCACTAGGAACTCCCCAAATCCCAAAGGCTCTCAATCAGTCATCCGACAACCCCAGAGCACACACAAGATCCTTCTGCCACAATCAGTTTCAAAAACCACCCAAAACGGTCATAATTCAACTAAAAATTCTTTAATGGCATCTGCTTTTGTCTCTAAAGGCACTGCCCCCCCCCTTCTTCTTTTAAAAATGTCATTGGTTTATTAGAGAAACTGAGCTATTTGTTCTGTAGAGTGCCCACCATTGTGGTTTGACTTCTTGTGGTTTCTTCTAACTTGCTCCTTTATTCCCAATACTCCCCTATAATTTGGACAATATGAGAATAAGATCTAGAAGCTTCAGGTTCAGTTGTTTTCTTTATTTCTTCCTATAGGATTGCTTTATGGGAAGAGGTGTGCACTTCATATTACCTCACATTAGGTAGCAAATACTGTCTGTTGGCAAACTATTGGTGATTTTATAATTATTTATGTGTTCAGAGGCAATCTTCTGATTCCTCCATAATATTGTTCTTCATCAACCTGCCAGCCATGGTTTCTACATCCATGGATGATTTTTTGCCTAGATGCATATTTTCATTGAGGGTATAACTCTTGAACACATGTATAATAGATTCTTTTATAAGTAACATCATTTCATACACTCTTTAGTTTCCTTTTGGTACAGTTTTAAAGGATAAAAAAACAGAATAAATGGTTTATTTTTTTCTGTATATTCATCATTTTTCAAAGTAATGAGAATGTCCTAGAAACCTTTAAAAATGACCAAAGGTGTCATGTAATTATGAACTAATTTTATATTAATATTTAAATACTAATATATGTGTGTTGTTTTGATACTAAAATTTGCACATTTTAGCAACCTTCTTGTTGTTTGTTTTTTCTGTATGTGACATGATTTAGTAGTCCTTGATAGCTTCTTAGCTTTCTGGGGTTGCCCAGATTCACCTTACATATTATTCTCCATTCCAGACCTGGAAAATAATATTTAGAGACCACAAGCTAGATAGTAGGTGCACTTACTGCTACTGGGTTGTCATTCCTTCAAGGTCTTTTCAATGAAAGGGTGGAAAAACATTTTTTTGGCAGAAGGATTTGAATTCATACTAATCTATGTAATTTCAATTTAAAAGTTGATGGTTTTCCCCTTAATTTCTTAATTTTATACTTCTATCTCTTTTTCTCTTAACACTGAAAATTGTGACTTCTAGAGAAATGTAAATATTTACATTTCCTAACAGAACATATAGTATAACATAGTATTCTACATATGATAGCTTCAAAATAACAATGTCAATATTACTAATAACAATAAGTTTGCTAAATGCATTTTCAAATTTCTTCTGAATTTACTTGAACCTTAAGAATGTATTCCTCAAAAGATGTATAATCAAGATACTGGCATGAAAAGTCACTGAAAAGAATTATGTATCCTTTGTATCATTATGCCACTAGTTGGTGTTCCTTTGGGTTCAATAACTGGTTTGTTTCCAATTTTAATTTTGGTTTTTAACTGTGTAAAGCATTTACATGGTCTATGGTCAAAATGATATAGCTATGTACATTCACATACCTTTTGCTTTTGTTGTTAATCCTCACCCAAGGATATTTCTCCATTGATTTTTCTAGGGTGGAGAACCATCTGTGAGATGGACATGGATCCAAAGAAAGAGATGGAGATAATGAAAGTGGAAGACCTCTGCGAGCTGGAGACAGAGACCATGAAAGTGGAAGACCTGTGCGCATTGGAGACAGAGACAAAGAAGAAGAAAGACGCCTGCGAGATCATCTCCGAGACCATGAACGTGGAAGACCTCTATGCGATGGGCTCGGAAACCATGAAAGTGGAAGACCTGTGCGCATTGGAGACAGAGACAAAGAAGAAGAAAGATGTCTGCGAGATCATCTCCGAGACCATGAACGTGGAAGACCTCTACGCGATGGGCCCGGAGCCGGAGAATCTGGAAGACCTGTACGCGATGGGCCCAGAGCCAGAGGATCTGGAAGACCTGTACGCGATGGGCCCAGAGCCAGATGATCTGGACGACTACTACGCGATGGATTCAGAGCCAGAGAATCTGGAAGACTACTACACGATGGCACCAGAGCCAGAGAGTCTGGAAGACTTCTACGCGATGGCACCAGAGCCAAAGAATCTGGAAAACCTCTATGCGATGGCACCAGAGCCAAAGAAAGAGGAAGATAAAGCCATGCCCTCCTCATCCACATTCGACTGTGCATCCGGATCAGGGCCGTCCGTGAATCTTCCTCCCAAGGTGCGTGTCCTTGATTGGAATCTAGCCTGGGACCCTTCAGTCTAGGGGGCAATGCTCAATCCATTGAGCCGAACCAGCCAGGGCTATTCACATATATTTTATCTCCATACCTAATTCTTTTTCCTCCCTCCCCAGAGGCAACCACTTTTATTTTCTTTATATCTCCAGGGATTTGTGTGTGTGCATGTGTGTGTGTATGTGTGTGTGTGTGTGTGTGTGTGTGTATACATATTGTCCTAAACCCTGTTTTTCTTAATGTATTCTGAGGTTCAAATGATATCTATATAGATATTTTGCTCATTTCTCATTCATAATTTCTTCAATTAATCCCCTTTTTATAAGCATCTGGTTTGTTTCCAGTTTTCAGTTATCCCCCAAATACATTAATGAATGTCCTCAGGCAGATATCACTTTATATATTTGTCACAATACCTTTGGGATAGATTGTATTGTTGTTGTTATTCCTTACTTGAGGATATTTTTTCCATTGATTTGTTTTTTAGAGAGAGTGGAAGGGAGGGGTATGAGAGAGAGAGAAAGGAAGAGAGAAATATGGATGTGAGACAGACACATTGATTGGTTGCCTCCTGTAAGGACCCTGACTAGGGCCAGGGATCAATCTGCAACCCAGATACGTTGTGCCCTTGACCAGGATCTAATCTGTGACCCTTCAGTGCAAAGGCCAACACTCTAACCACTGAGACCACTGGCCAAGGCTAGAATTGATTTTTAAAAGAGGAATTGCTTAAACAAAGGGAAAATGCATTTATAATTTTGCTACAACAAGTGCATACTTTTAAACATATTAATCTTGCCAAGAAAATGTAGAAGCTAAAACATATATTTATTATTGAAGAAAAAAAAAAACTTTTCTAGCTGGAACGATCAGATTTATCAAGAATAATTTATTAGTGGGAATCTTAATCGTTAAATTCATGCATAGTCTCAGGTGAAATGTAAATAAACGAACAGTCAAACAATTTTAACTTCAGTGGTCTCTAATCCATTAAGTCTTAGGAAATAATGTAATAACAGGAAAACTATTAAAAGTGATCTATCTATATGTATACACAAACACAAACATGCAAATGGGGATGGATGGATAGATGTGTACATAGATAGATAACAGGAGACAAAGAGAGAACTTTTTCCCTTGAGAACATTTCTGACTTTAATAAATTCACAAGCTCTTTAATTCAGTCAAAATTTTATTTTATTATATTATTTTTTAAATGACACAACAGAAATTAAAGTAAGTTAGCAGTGTCAAAATGATAGCACTTGTAATATTTTTTAAGCTATAGGTAAATATGGATGTTTGTCATCTGGGACCTAAAATATAACCCAACTTTTAAATGTAAAAGAACATGTATTCATTGGTCCTTTTTATGTTATATGTATTAAAAGAACATGATTACGTTGTCTTTGTTTTTCAGTCGCAAACTACGACTGAACTCAGTAAAGCAGTCGGCAGACTTGGGTGAGTCATATTTGCTTTCTTATTTTATACTTATATCTCTTTCAGACAGAGCAAGACTTCAATCTCATAAAAAATAGTTACATGGTAAATAAAAAAATAACAGTTTCACATTTGAGTAGCAGCTAGTTATGTATAAAAGTGGACAAATTTTAAAAAAAAGTAACTTTGATTAATAAAAACTGGTAAATAATCACTAATTATTCATTTACTTGGGTTAGCATATTTTCTTCAGATATAAGGCAATAATTGCATTCATAAGATGACATTAAAAAAAAAAAACCACAACAGTTAATATTTCTTCTGAAGTTTCAGTCTTCTTTCAGGAAAGAAAAGCCTTGGCATCTTCTTACCTGTTTTCTTCCTCAAGGCTAAAGTCAACAAAACAAAAATCAACATCACATCAGTCTGTAGGATCACTATAAACCACCATCTTCAATATGTTTACAAACCGACCTCATCTTATTTTTAATGATTACAAAGTCAGTAGCACTGTCCGCTCAGCTAACAGCATTAGAACTTTAAAAACACATTTTTAGCTAGGCAGAATAAGCATTTTCACAAAACTGGTCAGTACTAAAGTACCATTTAGATAGTAGTAGTCTGGAAATGGCAATACGCTGTGAGTAAAATAAATACATAAAGTATCGTTTTGCTTATGCGTTATTTATAAAGTTGGCTTAAGAACTGAGGATGAAAATGTCACTACCTTTCATACAAACACGTTTGCAGTCCTTCATGCTCACAAAATTGTTGTCATTCCCCCCACAGCCAGTGTAGGTGAAGGCCTGGCAGGCATTGTGTCTTGGGTTAAAATGATAGCGAGTCACATTAGCAGAGCATAGTCCCTCATCTCTTGGACTGTAGCAAAATGACGGACCTTTATGCAAAAGACAATAAAATTAGGCATGCAGTGATACCAGAATTCATAAGCTATGGTAGTTACTAAAGTCACTGGAGAAAATATAACCCCATGGAAGCTTCATGCTGAATTCAAAATGCCATTGTAAAACCATTTAAAAAGTGTGCCTCAAAATTCAAGAAAGTTCTCCATGGTGTATTTTGTTAATTCTATATTTTGAAAAACTGAGCAGAATTTCTTCCGAAGCTATGTCCTTATACCATTTGATTGTGTAAAGAACTGAAACCCCCAAAAGCTGATGGGATCAGGTAAAAACGAGATGCATTTCAAATGATAATACATGGCATGCTTTGTACACTTCCTTGTGTTTGATAGTTTTATTTTCAATGTGTTTATCAGTTCTCCTTCCATTATTAATCATGAATACATGTATCTAATTCCCACGTAGCCACTAGAAACATTTACATTCATATAAACAATTTAAGAAAACACCAGCAACAACCATCTCCTCATTAATTCACGTTTGCATAGTCAACACAGTATTATAACTATAGAGATTTATCAAAGTCTCTGCCAACGCAAATTTTCCGTGGTTGGATTTATTTATCAACGTGTATGTATCTCTGTTGTGCCTAAGGAAAATGCCTGTATTGTCTTTTCCTACAAATATTAAATGCTGCCAGAGTGACCCATTATTTCAGGGACTGTGTGTGGGCGTAGGGGACTGTAGATAAGAAATGGGGAGGAGAGAAAAAAGGGATAGAGATCCCTTATGCTCCACAATTTGCAATTACTAAAGGATACAGAAATTTAACCAAAAACTTCAGAAAGCAATTTTCAAGTTTCCCCATCTTAAGCCTGTCTACATTCCACTATTTGGTGCATACAATTGAATCCATGCAAACCTGAGGTCATGGCATGCATTACTGAATACTTACTGTAATTTTATGTGTAAATCAAATAGATGAGAAATCATTTTAAAAGAAACAGTACAGAGGAGGAAGCAAAAACTTGAATCATGGCTTTGTAGCTTTCCAGGCCTGAGAATGTGACAAGTTATTAACTTCTCCCAGCTTGTACTCTTATAGGTAAAAATGGCAATAATAATACTCCCTCACAGGGCAATAGTGTGAAGACTGATATCATTTTATATATGAAATTGCAACAATGCAAACCATGTGAATTTCACATTGAATTGATTTTTTTTTTCACCCTGAAGTCTTAATGAAGAAGTGAAATAGAAACACCATAAAAATATTATTTACGTTTTCTCGGTACACAGTAGTCCCTGCAAGAAGCTTCATCCGGGAACTGGTTCCCACTTCGGTGACACCCAGACATGAATTTTTCACATGCCATGGAGCTTAGATTGAAGAAATAGTGGCCTCGGGACTCCCCACAATGCCCCTCGCTGACTTCCAAACGGCAGATTTTGGGGACTTCTAGGAAAAGGAGGACAAAAAAGCAGTTCAAAAATGAGCCTTCTTAGCATTACTTTCCACATTTTACTCTATTTTTCAGAAACAGCTGGGTGGGGGAATGACATCCTATTTAGTGCTGGGATAGTCAACCCCCCCAAGGCTGTCCTTTAACACAGTTATTTAACTTTCCTGTTTTTTTTAAACAGTGTCTCCAGACTGGACGGAGCTGTGATCTTTCAAACTCAGTAGCAGGACTTGTCCTCGTGTCCTCTTAGAGAACATATGAAGTTAAATAACTTGGGGGGGGGGGAGGGATATGCATTTCCCCTGGGCTCCCTTCATTGAATGGCCAAGCCCCACCCACATTCTGTGGCTCCCAGGCCTTCACGGGGAACAATACACATCATCAACATAGGAAACAGCATCTCCAACCTCCACCCTGTCCTCTATGCTCACACAGACATGCTTGGCTCTGAGGAGACAACAGCAGGGTGATCATTAGCTAAATCACAGCCAAGCAATAAAATCCACTCAGAGTGTTCCAGATCGATGGGTAATTGACAGGAGGAAATGGTGTTCTCAGGGAGGCGTAAAATCCATAGTTGCAGAACTAATAATGATACATACAGAAAAGCACACGTGGGCTGCACCTAATACATGGCACCCTTGCATGAGCTTGCCCTATGGTGGCACCTTGCCCTGCGCCTGCGCAGGCACCCAATGAGGATACATGCCAGTGGGGAGGCAGAAAGCAGCGAGTTGCAAACTCGTGATGACCTCCCACCAGGGAGCCCTGCTCGGTGCTCCTCGGCCTTGGAGGGCGCTCAGCTCACCCGCAGACAATGGGACCTGCAGCAGCAGCCGCTCCCACCGGCCCTGCAGCCACCACTTACTCTCTATCCTCCAGCAGGCTTCCTCGCAGGCCTCCCGGGTCTCGAAGTTGTTGGCGTTGCCCTCGCAGCCCCCGTACATGAACGGGCTGCAGCTCTGGGTGTACCTGTTATAGTAGAAACTGGGGACCCGGGCGCGGCAGGGCCCTATGTCCATGGGCAGCAGACAGATCTCCGCGTTATTTCCTGCGGGAGGGACGGAGGAGGGTCCGGGGAGAGAGGGAAGGAGATCAGCCACTTTCCCCGGGGGGGAGAGGTTTCTAAAAAGAGACAAAGGGTACCCTGGGGGTGGCTGGGGGACCTGGGCAAAGTAGGGGAGCGAGCCCGAGCCCGGTGGGGGCCATCCTTGCCACGGCAGCTGGACCCCCGGAGGAAGCCAGGGGGATGAGGGGGCCTTGGATGGGGCGGTACCTAGGGGATCCTGAGCAGCTGTTCCCATCAGGAGCAGGGGCAGAAGCAACAGCCCGAGGTGACAGAGGGGGTACATGGTGTCCCGAGTTCCTGGAGCGCCCGCAGGAGGAGGCAGGAGGAGGGTGCGCAGAGTGCGTGCTCGCTCCGGGCCTGTGCGCCGGGCCGGGGTGGGTGTGCGCTTTAATAGGGGTGAGTGTCCTCCGGACCCCGGACGGGGCGGGGCGGGGCGTGCCTGTGGGGAGCCCGGGGGCGGGGAGCTGATTCACGGCCTGGGGCCCTGGAAAGTGTGTGCTGGGAGAGGAATTCCCCTCCAGGGTTGTTGAACCTGTCTCCACAACTTTCTCTTGCGTGTGTGCGGGGCAGGCATGACCCAATGGGGCCTTCTGTGTCAGTGATGGGAAGTGGATGAAGTTAGAGGGAAGTCATTGCATAAGGTCCCAGCGTGTAGCATCGCTCCGAGGAGGGAGTGGATACTATGCTTTGAAAGCATTAAGTCCACGCATTTCCAAGGCAGCGAGAAAAGTGTGAAATTCATAGGGCTTCTTATACTGTGCCCTTTAGTTAGATGAGAAATGCAAGTATATGTGTGTGTGTTTACATGTATACGTGTGTGCCTACACACACATTTCAGTCAAGGTCCACATTGCATTTAATAAAAGGCTCCTACTATAGCTTTAAGTGTAGTTTCAAGAATTTTTCATAACTATGCATACCTTTGTAATCACCACGCTAATCAAGAATCAGAACATTTCCAACACCCCCGAAAATTCAGTCATACCGTTTCCCAGATAATCCTTCCATCCTCAGGCCAGAGGCAACTACTCTTCTGATCACCATAGATTGGTATTGCCTGTTCTTGAATCTCATGAAAATAAAATCATAAAGCAAGTACTATTTTGTACTTCATTTGCTTCGCTGCTGGGTTGTTTTTTGTTTGTTGTTGTTTTTTTGAGACACATCCATTTGCTGTATTGTTTAGTTCCTTTTAAATGCTGAGGAGCCTTCCAATTTGTGAATATTCCACAAATATCCTGTTTTTGGACATTTGTGTTGTTTCTAGCTTGAGATTATTATGAGTAAAGCTGCTTTGTTTGTACATACAACTTGTATTACTCTTGGGTAAAATATTTAGAAATATTAGAAACTGCCAAATCGTTTTTCCAAAAATGATAATACCATCTTACACTCCCAGTGAGCATGTGTATAAGAATTGCAGCTATGTTGGGTTTGTTTGTTTGTCTTTTGAGCAGGACAGATCAGCCCCTTCCCACACAATGGCAGTGCATGTGTTAAAGTTCATTATGCCTTTGTCATATTAGCCTGAGTCTAACTTTTTTTTTTAATCCTCATCCAAGGATATTGATGAGAGAGAGTGATTGGGGAGAGAGAGAGAGAGAGAGAGAACAAACATGAAACACAAATCCGTTGCCTCCTATACACTCCCTGAGCAGGGCTTGGCCTACAACCTTTATGGTGTAGGGAACTGTGTTGCAACCAACTGAGCCACCAGACTGGAGGAGTCTAACTTTTTATTTACACAAAACAAATAATCTACTCTGGTATTTTTCATGAAATAGTAAAGATATTTTGGAGGCTATTTTAATGAGTTCTCATGATGAATATGACTTGCCTTCCTGCTCATTCTCCTTTTCTTCTTGTTCCATTTAATATTCTCAGTTCCTGGCTCCTCCATATTCTCTAGAGGATATGGAAGCAAATTTGCAGTATTTCTCTTCCAAATTTCTGAGAATCCCTATGCTCACAGTAGTTAATAATCTGGGCTACTTTACACATCATAGCCTCTAGTGCTAGTTTTCAGTTATCCTGACATCACGGCATAGAATCATATTCCTAAGAAAACCAGCCTGGCTGGAAATACTCACTGTTCTTTATGCGGTCAGGTTATCAGATATGTATGGTTAAGAATGACAGAAATACAAGGGTAGATGTTTATCAACCAGCTTTCCAGGAAGAAGAATGGAGCTGGTTTGCATAGTTTACTAATTTCCATGTGGCAAATGCCCCCACTATAATCAATTTCAACCCTCAGTTTGTCACAGCCAGTATAAACTGGCCCTTAGCACACCATTGAATGAGAGAGCCAGCTGGTTTTAGACACATTCATAAGAGAATCAGATTAGACCCTCCCAGCACCTCCCAAATATTACTAGGGGAGAGAAGTTTTTACCAAACATACAATCAAGATCATGTTCAGGAGAAAAGTTAATTCCACTTCAGATTTACCTATTTCCATTTTTCTGAATATGATTAAATGGACTACAATGAATTGGACTGATTCGGAGTCAGGCTTGTCATTCAGCATTGACTATTGTCCCTTCTGTTGTTTGTTCTCCGCTGCTGGCATTTTGCGATCATTTTTTTTGCTTCATAAAAAAAGAGGAATCTTTTGAATTAGGACAGATTATTTTGGGAAATTGCATGGTGTGTCAAGGAAGACCTGGATTTTATCCCCTGTTCCTTTGGACCAGTTATATAAACTCATCAAGGCTTTGTTTCCTTATTTGTAAAACAGATAGAATAATTGGGCCTTAGAAGTGTGTTTTGAGGATTCAAGGGAAAGTGCCTAGGCACTCCAAGAGCTGTGCTTCAGCTCCTCACACACAGATGCATAATCCACCCCATCCTCTCATGGCCCAGTTCCTGTGTGCCTTGGCACCAACCACATTCAGGGAACAGAGCCATAGGAACCGTTCTTGTAGGACTGAAATCTGTGACGGCCCATATCCGCTCTTCTCTTTGGTTGAGGTCAGAGACCACCTCTCTGCCTAGAGGGAGTCATGCAATCAGACCTCACTCTGTGATGGTCTCTTCTGGAGAAATGAGTTTCAGGGTTCTCCTGGCCAGAGCAGGGTATTCAGTCTACTCAGGCCTGCTGTGTAAACACATGGAGGAGGGGAAGGAGGAGGAGAAGGGAAAAGGACATGGGAAAAGGCCAAATCCAGGCTTTTCACCATCCTCTGTGGTGCAGAGTCTGTACACCCAGGATGAAACCTATGTCCAGAGATATTCCAGAATGTTAGTTTTTCCCCCCTTGTTCTATGCCAAGTAGAGTGCATCTTTAATACCTCTGGAGTACAAAGCAAGGACAGGGAAGAAAGAGCATTGAACAAGCAGGGTTGTTAGAAATTTGAGATCATCAAGTCAGGTTATCAGAAAGAAAATTGGTCCTCTTATTGTGAATCACTTGAGTACTTTCATGTCCATGAAAAAAAAAAAAATCTCCCCATGTAAAGGCGAATCTTTAAATTACTGAATTTATCCATGTGAACACCACAATCAGCTTCGACAGGGATGTCATTGTACTTCTATCCCCTTAAACCAGGGTCTAAGCCAAAGGTTACAACATAGCTGAGGAAAGCAATTCCTTTACCCAAAGTCAACAGGAAATGCAAAGCTGGAGGGAACTGGGAAGAACAGTCACACAGATTGATTTGTCATCGCAATACCAAGTGACAGCATGGGTGACTGCAGCTAAACACAGAGGCTCAAAATAGTTTGGAGTCCTGCAAAATAAGGCCTGCAGTTCAATTAGAATGCCTAACAGAACTATAAGTAAGATCTGTTCCAGTATTTCCATTTTACAGAGTTACAAAATTGAGATCTAGCAAGATAAAATGGCTGATGGTGTTTACTTACCTTAGTTGTTGGCAAGCTGAGACTAGAACCCAAAATCTTGAAACTCAGACCTATATTCTTTTTAACATCCCCAAACCTGGGCTCTATTCTACCAGGATGTTAGAGTAGAACAAATAAAAAAAAAACAGAATTAAAACACACAAACACTACAGTGAGTACAGGAGCACCTTTCAGATCCCTGCCTCTGTTCTTTCTCCCAACTCCTTTAGGCCCCGCAAAAAATGGATATAAAGTTGATTTGGAACACATTTGCTCCTAGAATTCCCAAGCCTTTGGCTTAATGTTCTATCTTCTGAGAACTCAAAGAGCTTGGGAGGTAACAATGAATTCAAGGAAAGGATTGAGGCAGAAGGTCTTCTCCTCTGTCAGACACCTTAGAGAGAGGTTGGCATATTTAGCCCAAGGATGAATGAAGAGAATTCACTGAGCCCAGTCATTTGGGGATCCATATTATAAAAAACAGTTGCTTAAGGAGTTGCACTGGTAACTCTTTAAAAAAAAGAGGAAGTTTAAGCCCTGTCAAAATAAAGTCTGAAGTGAGTCCAGCTGGCACCAGCGAGGAGTTTACACATCTGCTAAGAAATCCAGTTAATCTCTTCTAAGAGATTAGGGGTCATGAGGATTTTGTTAAATTTTAGGCAACTGCTTCACCAATGAGGCATTTTTCTACCAAGTTGGGCTGCATAGGATATGTTTATCCAATATGCCCTCTGTCTGACTCAGATCACATTTGTGAGTGTTATTATATAAATTGGTGCTGTATTAAATTAGGAAACATTCCCTGTGCTTAATTTTATTAGGCTCATTCTCCCCAGAAAGAATACGTGATTTTTAACTGTATAGTGTGTCTCCAACCATGGTCATCCTTTCATTCACTTGTTTAAAAAATAAGCAAATTAAATATTTTAAAAGTGCCAAACTTATTGCTAGGTATTTGGGGGTGAATAAATACATTAGGAACCTCAAAATATAGTAGGGTAGACTGATAAACATCATATAACACAGTGTTCTTAGCACACCATTAAAAATATATAACAGGTCCTATGGGACCACAGAGGAAGAAATAAATAAAATTAAGCAAGAGCACAATTCAAAATAAAAGCCAGTCCACACAAGCATATCTAGCATTCCATCTTCCATACTTTATGGGGCACACTCATTCCTTCATCAGCTAGTTGCTTTGGTTGGTTCTTTTAGGAGCTGTGGTTCTAGCAAAGCATTGACCTCTACAGGAAGGCAGAATCTCTGAAACACCTTTCTCTGCTTGCTAGGTATATGCTTCCTCAAGTGTCATGCTTACTTACGATGTTGGCCATCTTTTCTCTTGCCCAGATTATTGTATATTTAACTATGCAGCACACCCAGAAGATTGGGATAAATTTTGGCTTATTTAATTGAAGACCTTTCCTGCAATCTCACCACTTACCCAGAATTCTAGCCTGGGTGACCAGTCCACAAGAGGTTGGCATGACAAGAATGGGGAAAGGAAGAGAAACATTCCTCTAATTCCTGTCTACACCATGGGGACCTCTGTAGCAGTAACTATAATGATGGATATAATGTTTATTGAGAATTTGCATTCTATTTTATATTTGTTAATTCATTAAATCCCCTGGAATAAACACTTAAGGAAGATCTTTAGTCTCCCCCCTCTCCTATTAAGGAAACTGAAGTTCTAGATTGATATGGGACTTGGCCAAAGCTTTGGCAGCTAGCACAGCCCAACTGAATCAGGATTCCCTGGTCTCACTGTACACATATCTTTTTTGTCTACATCAGTGGGGACCGAAGTCAAGTTTATTATATACAACATATTCTCATAACCTTAGTTCAGTTCTTGGACAGCTCTATCTCAGAAATCTTTCTCACTCAAACATAACATTTATCATTGAGAACAAATAGGTAGCTACAATTTAAATATGTTGCTATAAAGCTCTAAGAGAGACATCTGCCAAAGTTGATAATCAGATTAGAGGATTGAGAGAGTTAAAGACTTTAGTCTTTATTTTTAGGCTGTATTTAGCAGAAAGTAATGGACCTTGACCTGTCCAAGTATAAAGCCACCCTTTCTTGTAAAAATACTATCATTTTTTATACTCTACCCCAAATCTTGTGTTAGTTACACATTACTTACTAAGGTGGCCTAAATCCTCCAAACATTAATTTGTTATAGCTTTATGTGGAAAAGTTTTATATCTTAAATCACATGAGAGGATCAATCTGCCTTTTGCAAGAGGCAGTAGCTGCAGTTTGAAAGGGGCATACATAGCCTAGGACTTGGCGCTGGTTTTTTTTCTCTTATTGACTATTAGTAGGGGGAGGAGAGCTGGGGGGGAGTGGGAGGGGAAATAGAATTGAACTGAAGGTCTACATTAGAAGAGAGTTGAGTACACATTTATTATTCTTCTTAGTCCCTTAGCACAATCTGATACAAGGTAGGTTTTATTCTTTTATCTTGTTCCTTGTTTTGTTTTCCTCATGATAATGTAAGTTGTCTGGAGACAAACTTTTTAAAGTTTTTCCTCTGATTTACTCTTAAGCATCTATATAGAATAGTGTCTAGCACATAATAGTACTTTAAGAAGTAAGAAATAAGGAAATTTATACCCACATGATTACAAGTTTATTGTACATGACACAGTGGACTTGTATCTGAAAAAAAAATGTATCAAAGTGAAAGTTTATAACTCAAAATACTTAAAGAATACTGGCAACATTTCTATTTCAAAGGAATCTATTATTGATCTCTGTATAAAAACAAAGGATTTAAAAAATTAATTTTAATAATTTCCCCATAATATTGCCCTTAAAAATTAAATATTTGTCCAGTTTTCTTCAAAATGTGCTCATCTATAAAGTATAAAAAAGAAAGCAGGTAGTCTTTGAATTTCATACTAGCCTGTTTTAGTTGTAAAATAAGTTAGCAAGAAACCTAATGGAAACTCTTAAAGATGCTGTTGAAACACTTAGGCTACCAACATCCCCTCACCCACATCCACAAAAACCAGTGAAAGCCATACACTACCTAATATATTTTCAAAAGTCCCTCTAGGGGGCAATATTGCCCCCATTGAGAACCACAGTTTCAAGGATAGGGTAGGACTGAGATATGTCCTTCCCCTCCTCTTCTATTTGTACTTAGCTCTTCTAATGGTAGGATGGAGTAAGATGTAAAAGGCAAATCCTTCTATTTAATAGGGGGTATGTTTCTCCCCTAGCTTAGCTTACCTACTACCTTAGCTTGTATTGATATATGTTTTCAGTCTTCTTATATTCTGATAAAGTTGGGTTAGGATGCTTGGTTAAGAGGGCCAACAATCTGATCTAGCACCACTTAGGGATCCATGCAGAGGTAGCCCAACCTGTAAGCATAGAATATAAGCAGCCCAGGCAGCAGGGTAGAAATGGGAAAGGGTGAGTAGTAAACTCTGCTTGTTGTTCTATGTAATTCTGGGGTATAAAAAGATAAGTCTCTTTTATGCTAGTTGAAAAAGGGAAACTGATAGAAGAGTGCTGGAGTAGAAAACACTCCAGGCCATAATACAAATATCTAAGTAATAGCACCAGCTCGATTGCCACCCATTGAATGGTTTTGGATATTTTAATTCTCTAGACAACCTTTGACTCATCTAGAAAATTGGATACAGATTAAAATTAGAGGATGTTATATCTGAATTCTATAAACCCTTGAACTTGATACAATTCTGGGCATTTGAACTCTCCTTATAGACAGTATATACTACTTTTTATCTATGAGTCTGGGTGTCCTTGAGTAAGGTGGGAGTTTTTATTTAAATTTACAGAACAATAGGCAGTAGTAAGGACATAAAAGCTATGAAGGGTATGCGTGCTCTTGTAAAGGCCCTTATTATCCATAGTGTGTTAGAGTCTTAGAAGCAGAGCCAAGATGGACCCTTGTCCAAGTGATTCATGGAGGGTGAGCTCTCAGGAGAAACATCTGAAGGAAGGAGAAGAGCAGGATGTAGCAGTAACAGTTAGGCAGATGTGGGGTTTCAGAAATCCAGCTTCATTCTGAACCCATGGGTCTCAGTTACACCAAGATTCTTCAGCCCAGAGTCAGGAGGCCTGGGCTGTTAGAACCTCACTTCAGCCAGCCATTTACGACAGGTCATCTACAGGGGCCAGTAGTATCCCAGGCATCACCTGTCCTGGGTTCCCATAAGCCCAGGACAGACCAATGCAGAAGGTTTTCCCTTGGCAGTCAAAGGCCGCAGGTGTTAGAAAGATGATAAATGCCCACTCTGGGAAGGAGAATCTGAGTAGGGCCCCAAGAGTATCTACTAGGCATGATATTAAAGGAGCCACATCATGTCCTCGTTCTATCCTTTAAGAGCACTGATAAAGCCACCTATCAGTGAGTGACAAGAAAGACAGCACAGTCTGAATAAAAATGGTGCCACAGAGACAAAAGAGGAAAAAATGTGGAGATTATAAACATGATGCCACTTGGCTCTGATGAAATACCTTCCAGGCAATTTCATAGAGGTAGCACCAAGCTACGGTACCATCTTTCCTATGGCCCAGAGAGCTAATGCAGGAGAGGAGGTGACAGAGGGCAGAAGAAAGAGTCTATTCTTTTATGATGATGTTGGCAGATCAGACTCACTAGGCCCCCCTATATCTTGCCACATTTGCTCATCGTTGCTGTCTAATTCTTTGAGATGGTTACGCACAAACTCCAAGTAGTCTAATGCTTTGAAGTAATATGCTAATTATTTTTCAGTAACCAATTTGTTTGTTCACTTTATTTCCATTTTATTGGTGCATATTTCAATCCCATACTTACAAAGACTTTGTAATGACACTTTTTAATGGTTCTCTGTTAATACCAGATTAAATACTCTAGTGATTTAAGGGATTAATGGGCAGTCCTCAAAATGACCTTAAACAAACTTAAGTGACACAAGATAACATAGTGCAGGGCTTTGGAGCTGGAGATGAGGGTAGGAATCCAAATTTTGACATTGTGGGAGCAGGGGGGGACAAAAAAGAAAAGAAGGAGGAGCTTTGGGTGTTGAAGATTACCTACTGACCACACTGACCCCCCCTCACAAACCTACAAGCAGGTGTTCAGAGTCTGATGCTTGACTTAATCATATTAGTGAAGATTATAAAGAAGCTTTAAAATCCCAAGACTAGTGTTCAGTGCTAGAATTGTTTAGAGAGCATTCGTGAGAAATCGATTCTCAAACACACAGAGAAAGAGGCAGTTCACTCAGCAAGTTAAGAGCTGAGGGAAGGGTTGGCTAACATAGACTTGAAGCAAGTTCCACAATTCAGGTGCATGAACTAACTTTCTATCTTGTAGCCCACGAAGACCACCACCCAGCATGGACGAAAATGTAGAGAAGGAGAGACTGAGGAAGGAAGTTGCTCAGCTCCGCCGAGAAGCGGCTCTGGAAAGAATGAAGGTAAATTGTTTTCTTTTGAATTATATTTTAAACTAGAGATACCGTAGGATCAGCCGGAGTAGAAACCAAATGAAAGAGTACAGAATTTTCTAGCCCTTTGAATATGCCTCTTTGTCCTAAGGATTACTTTAGTCTGATTGTTGTTAAGAAACAGCAGACACAGGAGAAGCTCTGAAAACATGGCAGAAGTTACCCTTTGGTAAGAGGTTTTTGACATTTATAAGGGAAATCTCCATGTGTGAGGGTGTCCCCTCTCTGAAGCTGGAAGAGGAGGGTGACTAAATCTCTAGAAACTATTATTAAGGGAGGTGAGGGCTTCAATCTGTATAATCTTATCCTAGTTTGCTGTGCTTTGCCTGGGAACTTCATATAAAAGTCTTCAGTCCCACCCTCCTACCCATCTTTTATCTTCAGATGGAGATGGTACAAAAGGAACTGTCTTGGGCAATTTTGAGGGAATTACTCAGTTTGCCTGAGTATCCCCGTGTATACAAAAGATATACATGTTATTAAACTTCTGTTTGTTTTTTCCTGATTAATCTGCTTTTTTTTTTTTTTAATTACAAAGGCTTCTGAGCCAAGAACCTAGAAAGATAGGGGGGAAATTATTTTTCTGGCCCCACACCATTCACTGGAGAGGTTCAACGAAGTTAAAAATAAACTGTGCAGGTAAAAATTTATCAGAGATTAAGAAAATGAATAATCACAATTATCTTTTGATTTTGGTTCTAAATCAAAGAATTGGCAAACTATTTTCCATGATTCAAATCTAGACGTTGCCTGTTTTTTAAATGACTACTAAGTTAAAAGCGTTTTTACATTTTTAGCGTTGTTAAAAAGAAAAGAGAAGAATATGAAACAGTGACCATATTTTAGCTAAGCAATAAAATAAAGTAATGCATATTGGCCTTTTGTTTTTATCTTTCTAAATTGAGAAGCTTCTCTTTATTTGATGCAATGCTTTGATATTGTTCAAATACTCTTAACCAAGAAGTCATCACTTCTAGTGCTATCATAGCCAGTAAGGAATGGGTACATTCTATTCCTTCTTTAGAAGTAGAAATTAGTTCAAGCACAAGAACATGTGGTTCCTCCCAAAAACATCTGACAAGTCTTGGAAATGGTTATCAAGAATTCTCTACCATTAAAGGAGAATAAATGGCAAAGGCAAAAAAGTTTCCATAGAGTTGAGAACATGTAGATATGTATTTTAGATTTGTTCATTTTAGGAAAGTTAGTATAAACAAAAGCTCCTTCATAAATGTAGTGATAAAAGTACATTATATATATTTAAAAAAACTCATTTTATCAGGCCAAAGTGAAAAAAGGAGTGCATTATCTCTATACTTGTGCTCAACACTCTTACTCCCAATAAAAAGAATTTTGGCTTCTTTGATGTTTACAAGTGTCTCACATTTCCCTGTTGCCCTTCCCATAGAGGCAAAACATATTTTGCTAGGAAGATAAAATGAAATCTATAGACAGCAGGAAAGCTTGGAACATAACCAAAAAGTTCAAATCGTTATCTTTATAATTTCAGGAATATAAAATAAAATTTTGGAGGAAAGAAGAGTTATTTTTTCTTCTTTACTTAAAACACCCAAAAGGGTTTTATTATTTATATATTCAGGATTGTGGTTTTGTAGGCAATTTGGCTGTCTTCGTGTTTATTATTCACTTGTGGCAAGTTCACCTAGGAATTTTTACTGTAGTAAATAGTGCATACATCACCATCTGTCAGGATTTGGGTTCCTTTTCTGTTCTTTAACATCTTCTTGCTCTTAGAAGTCAAACTTATTTAATCTAAGACTGACACACACACACACACACACCACAGAACCTCTGGTCTTGAGTCTGACACTGACAGAGGATGACATAGTGTCATTAGAGTATGGCTAAATGGATGGGCTCTGGAACTATATCTCTAGTTCAGATTCTGACTCTATGACTCACTCCCTGTGTAACACTCGCCTAAGTTATCTAACTTCCCTGTGCCTCTGTTTCTTCTTCTGTAAAATGGGCATAGTGACAATACCAAATGCTGAGGGCAATTGGGAGGACTAAGAGGGATAACACATACAACAAACATTCTGAATGCAATGCCTAGCATATGGCAGGTACTTTCTACCATTATTATTTTTTGAATTGTTATTAATACCTATGAACCAGACTGGTCCATAATATGCCTCAACCTATTTTGTTGTCAAGGCTGCAGTATGGTCAGTCAGCCAACTCTGCATCCAGTTTCTAAAGCTGAGAGATTTGCAATGATGATAAGCCAGTGCAATAGGCAGACTAAAGATAATCTTTGGAGCGATGGCTAAAAATAGCTAGCATCTAACTGAGCACCTTAGTATGCCAGGCAGTTAAGCCAGCTAGCGTTGCTCTTGATATTTCATAGAGGAAGTAACTAAGCCTGAACTAAGATACAAAGTTGATCAGAGGGCAGAGCCAAAATTCAGACCTGAAGTGGCCCGAGTCCATTGTAAATGCTTCCCATATACCCGTAATTAAGCCATATACACTGATAAGAAGCTGCGCTGAAATAATTCCAAACACATACGTTCACATAGGGATCCCAGCCAGATACTGTCAAACGCCTGCATGAGGACAGCAACTTAAACCTCTGTTCCTGACTTCTGGTTGCAGCCAATGAGCTGGTGTTAGGAGGAGAGGAAAAGGAAAGTGAATTTAAATCTCAAATTTTGAATTTTTGAGGAAAGAAACCAAGTGATCCTAAATGGCTGTATATTTCAAAAGTGTTTACAAACTCCATGTTTCATTCTATGAAGGAGCCACCTAACGGATGCCTTGCCCCAGTTAGAAATGATTTGTTCTGCTATGTAAATAATGAGTTTGCAGAGTTGTAATCTTATGACTAATGTTGTTTAGAAGCTGAGTACAAATTTGGCATAAAGATTTTATTTAAAAAAAAAAACAACAACAAAATTGGTTACATAACTTATGCAATGACCACTTAATGGGCTGCCAAAAAAAATCAAGTTTTTTGTGTTAATGTCTTGAATGACATATTAAGTGAAAACAAAGCAAGTTGAAAGTTAAACAAATGAATACCTTGTTCCCATATGTGCCTATCAATGTACACACACACACACACACACACACACACACACACACACACACACTCTTACATTTATATATGTATAAAACATTGCCTCTCCCTAAAAGTTATGTTAAATGGTACATTATTAGCAGGCTCTGGCTGAGCCCATGAAGGTACTAAAGCCTGATTTTTCATGACAGTGCAGATGAACAAGGAGCAAGCTTAGAAACAAAACAACGTATTCAGTTCAGCGAATATTTATTTACTGAGCACCAACTAAATGTAGGTTCTGCTCTACATGCCTGGGATACATGTGAACAAATCAGCCAAAGGTGCCTGGGCCTTTAGAGTTCACCTTCAGGTACAATGTCATTATCAATCACTGTAGAGAGGGTTAAAAATGAAATTATCTGCGTATACTTCTGAGATTCCAGCAGGGGTGATAAGCCTGGAATTCAACAATCATTCATTCCCTCCCACTTTCATAGGTCACATTTTTGGAGTGAGGAAAAATATCTCATTAATATTCCTCTGGTGACATTTTTGACTTGTGTTGCCAGCTGTGTTCTGATCTCTGTGTCTGCTGGGAACGCTTAGCTGGAGGGTGGCCAGCTGTTTCTTCTCTGCCAGGAGATACACAGGAGGGCAGGGGAGGGAGCAGCTATGTCCTCTTTTCTTCTAAAAAGTACATAAGTGTGGACAGGAAGCAGAATCGCATCAGAAAGATAGAACACACAGAGATTAGTACCATAAATACTTTCTTGGATTCTGCAGTATTGTATATTAAGCCAAATGATCTCTTTCTGCTTTCCATTAAGGTCTCCCAGTGCTGCGCAGACCTGCGGGATTATGTCCTCCAAAATGCTGCCAACGACCCACTGGTGCAGGGTATCCCCGATGACAAAAACCCCTACAAGGAGATCAAGGGAGGCTGTGTGATGTTTTAAAGAAATAAGCCTAAAAATTCCTGGAATTTCTTGAGCTCTCAATGACAACATTCACTTTTCATCATATGTCAGAGTATCATCGAGCATGTGAATGAATTTTAAAATTCATTAATATAAATCTTTAACGAAAATAGGCATGTAATAATGTTAAGTCTACGTTTTAATCTGTTTGTTTAACATAGGGTCTAACGCATAATTGATAAGAACGTTGATTGACCCCTTTCTTCAACAGGAACTACCATGTTCTATGAATGAGTCTGTCTTATGTTGGTTGCCAGCATATAGTTTCTCTTTTATGTTTCTTCACTTCTTTTCAACACTCATAATATCCCATCTGGAAATTTCATGGCTAGACTTACATTTTTCCCCCCAAACTTTCTCTTGCTTTCTGAATTGAGAAGTCTATTCTTTGGATTCATCAGACTGATCTTGGCAAAATGTCTCCTGTGAAGATGGTTGTTGATGTTTTGTTTTCTGTTTCTCTCCATCTTTCACCCGCCACCCCCAGGGAGCAGTGATGGTTTTAACATTAACCTCTTGCTCCATTCTTACCAGTTCCAGTTGTCACCAATGATGTGACTTTCCCTTGGAATGCCAACTGGGTCGAGGGTTCAGTGTAAGGTCACAGGGCACCGCAGGTGTCACCAGCACCACAATGAGGATGGTGAGAAGCCAGATAGCTCGGGGTCTGGCTCTCTGACTTTGGATAAGTGACATAAGCTGTCTGAGTCTCAGTTTCTTCTACTGTAGAATAAAGAAAGAAATAGTGCTCTCCCCTTTGTCATTGGGATTAACTGTGACACTAGGGTGACTAAAGCACTTAGCATGTAGCCTGGCATATAGTAAGACCCACCAGGTGTTAGTTTATTACTGGGAAAGGAACTGGACCATATGCATAGCATCCCCATGATAACTCTCACCAGAACCATCCTTTTTTCTGTAGCAGTGTAAAGGCAAGACGACAAGAAAGTAGCTATCCGCATCCTCCTGCTAGTCGCTTTCCTCCTGCCTTCTCCAGACCTCACTACCTTTGCGCTGCTGACCAATGCCTGTGCTTCTGTAACAAGTGGCAATATTAATAGATAACTAGATAACTATTTTTGCTGCGAGTATTTCCTTGTTGCGCTCTCACATTTACAGTGCTATTTTTGTAATAGATTAGAAATGCTAATTATACTTTTAAAAAGAGAAGAGTTAGCTATTATTTTTTCTGAAAGAGATCTATTATTGTACGAATATTTAAAGTTGCTAGAGAAAAGATGAATATATGGAAGAAAGCCTTATAAATCTCTTCTATTATTATTATTAAATTAAATATTTAAATTAGCTATTATTTTTTCTGAAAGAGATCTATTATTGTACGAATATTTAAAGTTGCTAGAGAAAAGATGAATATATGGAAGAAAGCCTTATAAATCTCTTCTATTATTATTATTAAATTAAATATTTAAATTAGCTATTATTTTTTCTGAAAGAGATCTATTATTGTACGAATATTTAAAGTCACTAGAGAAAAGATGACTATATGGAAGAAAGCCTTATAAATGTCCTCTATTATTATTAACCCTTACAAATGTCCTCTATTATTATTAACCCTAATAAGTTAGGTCGACACCCTTAAACATTAAGTAATCCCTGTCATGACTCCCTATCTTCCATCTTCCTAAGTTTAGTCTTACAGATCCCTCCACCTGATATGTTCCTCTTTTCCATCTCATTTCAGCCCTTTGAAATCCTATTTCTCTTCTGAAGCTTAAGTATTGTCTCCTCTGTCCCTCCCTCTATTCCAAGAGGAATGTGTATTATGTATCTTTTAAGTCATTTTACGTTACTATGCTTTCTCTTCTTAGAGCTTGTTTGGCTGTCTTAATTTCAATAACTTATTGTAAATTTCCCAAGCTGGAAATTCTCCTTATCTGTGTAACTGCTATATCAACTAATAAATAAAGTCTTTAAAATTTAATTGACTTAAGTGTTTAATTTAAGGATAATTCAGAATCTTAATGGCTCACTACTTAAATGGACAGTAGGGTAAAATTCTTATTGCTTAAAAATACAGATTGTCAGCGGGATTTTGAGAAAGATAAAAATCATAGGAGGGAAGTATAGAGAAAGATGGTCCAAGGAGAAGGAAATGAAATCATGGCTGTCCCACAGCCCACACAACGACAAGTGGCAGTAAATGATTCTTTTCCCCCCAAAAAAGTTATTTAAGGGACATGGATCACTAGGTTAAATTGAATGAAGTAAAAATAAAGGAAAACAATGCATAGCCTTAGCATTTTGTTCAACAAAACTACCTGATATCACTAATGAGAATGGGCAAAGTGACACACTTTCTATATCATGTGAGATACTAGCCCTTTCAGTGTGTTTTATATACATAGGTAAGTTTACGTTTTACTAAGAAAAAAAAAATCACTGTTATTTTCATTGGGATTGATTGATGTGAACCACATTTTAAAACAAGGCTAATCTCAAACTTCCAAATCTCCTAAAAATCTGTAAGGGAAACTATAAACCGAGTAATGAGAATGACCAATTATATGCAATGAAAATTAAAGTCTTGTATGAACGTAATTGAGGAAAGAAATAATTTTGATACCACGAATTGTTAGTTGTTAAGGTAACAGGAGCATCAGACTTCCCAGTGTCTCCATCTAGAAAAGGAGTCTTATGGGCAGTTTATGAAAATGTCCATGTGATAATTACGATACATTGAACCCAAAGTCAAATGAACCAAGAATACAAGAAATGTATGTTAAATAGTTTCCTTTAAAGAAATCATCATTTGCCCTAACCATTTTGGCTCAGTAGATAGAGTGTTGGCCTGTGGATTGAAAGGTCTCAGATTCAATTCCAGTCAAGGACATGTACCTTGGTTGCAGGGACATCCCCAGTAGGAGGTATACAAAAGGTGGCTGATCAATGTTTCTCTCTCATCGATGTTTCTAACTCTCTCTCTCTCTCCCTGCCTCTCTGTAAAAAAAATCAATTAAAAAAAGAAAAAAAGAAAGAAACCACCATTTTAATGGCCTAAACAATCATCACTTACTTCATGAATTTTAGAGGAATATAATCTGGGTGCTAACTACATTTATTTACCCTAACAAAACAGAGGCAAAGAGAATCTATGTCTTACAAAGATCATAAGATTTTTTAAAAAAAGAACCCTGATCTTTTAAGTTAATATAAAATCAACTCTAATATAATTGCCCTTAAAATTTTCTTATAATTTTCTTTATATGAATTTTTAACAATATACTTAATACCATATCTTCCGGCGTATAAGATGACTTTTGAAATGAAAAAAAGCCTGTTCAGATTGGCCAGAGTCAGAGAGGCAGTCTATTAAAAAAAGAACTGGTGTTGCCTTGGAAGTGTGTGTGTGTGTGTGGGGGGGGGGAGGGGAGGGTAGTCTTATACAGCGAATATAGGCCTAAACCTATGTTTTAACTGTAAAATTAGGGGGTTCATCTTATATGCCAGAAAATACGGTACATCAGAAAAATACTTTTAAAATTTATTTTTCTTTTTTTGCATTCCAAGATAAATATCTCATGGTCTTTGCTCTTTTATACTTTAAAAGTAAAAATAACCACATGGTTCATATTATTTTTATTAAGCAGATTTCTTTTTAAAAAATTTTATGGAACCAATTTTTTTTATTTTTAAATTACAGTTGACATAAAATATTGTGTTAGTTTCAGGGGTATAACATAGTGATTAGACATTTATATAACTTTCAAAGTGATCACACTAAGTCTAGTACCCATCTACATTATACATAATTATTACAATTTTATTGACTATTTTCCCTATGCTGTACTTTACATCCCTCTGACTGCTTTTTATGACTGGCAGCTTCTTTAAAACATTTGTCAACAGATGGTGGGATAATAAAAGTTTATTTCTGATTATACCTGTCATTTTCACTGCAGAATGGTTTCTACACTAACTTTGATTAGGGATAACACATAAAATATAGGTAAAATGTTAAAAGCACATTTGGATACATCTGATATGGCTTTTACATTTGTTTATCAAAAAAATTTTGCTGAAGAATAGGGACCACATACTGAGTGTGTGTGTGTGTGTGTGTGTGTGTGTGTGTGTGTAAGCATTTCTATCATTTTACCGTTTAAAACCAAATAACAGAAGGCATATGGGGGGAGGGGAAGGAGGAAGGCAGGAGAGAGGTCAAGGGGGAAAAAAGGAGACATGTACTACTATTTGTAATCATTCAAACAATAAAAAAGAAAAAAAATTAAAAAAATAAAATGCATAAAAGCCAATAAATAAATAAATAAATAAATGGCAAAAAAATAAATAAATAAAACCAAACAACAAAACATTTTTCAGAAGACAGTATGATCATGGGACTTCAGCATTTCCCAATTCATTTTAATTCAATCCATTTACTTAAAAATAATATTAGCATAGGAATTCTTGATAAGAATAAAACCTTTTTTTAAAAAAAACAATATATATATTTAATATCTAAGTCTCACAACACTGTGGAAGAAGTTAAAGAACCATTATGGATTTATAAATATTTTTCACTGAGTGCAACTAGATGATTTCACTGGAAAGAAATTTCCAGACCAAAATAACTCTATTTTTATGATTTGGAACAGACACACTGACATTCATTTACTTAACCAATTTATTTCATTTGGATACTGCTGCTTATTTCATTTAGGCCACATTAACTACTTTCACTAACTTATTTAAGCTATTTTTAACCAACCTTTTAAATTTAAACAATGGGGAATCAAAAAAAAAAAAAAAAAAAGCATGAGTTCTGTAAACATGAGTTTTTGTCTTGGCTCACAGCTCAGCAACAGGGAATAATACTCCATCAGCTGACCTAACTTCTCTGAATCAGGGAGATCCTAGACTGTGTGTTATTTCTCATACAGAAAAAAGAACCGCCTAACATTTTCTACATTTATCACATGGAGAGACATAAACACAATTAGAAAGGGAACATACTCTAG